ATTTACTTGTTCCCATCATATAAGAACTAGGGGCCACCAAATGAAATTAATGGGTAGCAGGTTTAAAACAAATAAAAGGAAGTTCTTCTTCACTCAGCGCACAGTCAACCTATGGAACTCCTTGCCTGAGGAGGTTGTGAAGGCTAGGGCCATAACAGGGTTTAAAAGAGAACTGGATAAATTCATGGAGGTTAAATTCATGGAGGTTAAGTCCATTAATGGCTATGAGACAGGATGGGTAAGGAATGGTGTCCCTAGCCTCTTGTTGTCAGAGGGTGGAGACGGATGTCAGGAGAGAGATCACTAGATCACTACCTGTTAGGTTCACTCCCTCTGGGGCACCTGGCATTGGCCACTGTCGGTAGACAGGATAGTGGGCTGGATGGACCTTTGGTCTGACCCAGTATGGCCTTTCTTATGTTCACAGTCATGCTAGAGGGGCATAACGAGTGGAATCCCAGAGGGATCAGTTCTGGGTCTGGTTCTGTTCAATATCTTCATCAATGATTTAGATAATGGCATACAGAGTATCCGATGAAGTGAGCTGTAGCTCATGAAAGCTTATGCTCAAATAAATTTGTTAGTCTTTGAGGTGCCACAAGTCCTCCTTTTCTTTTCTTTTTTCTTGTAAAGTTTGTGGATAATACCAAGCTGGGAGGGGTTGCAAGTGCTTTGGAGGATAGGATTCAAATTCAAAATGAACTGGACAAACTGGAGAAATGGTCTGAAGTAAATAGGATGAAATTCAATAAGGAAAAATGCAAAGTACTCCACTTAGGAAGGAGGACTGTGCAAAGGGATCTGGGGGTCATAGTGGACCACAAGCTAAATATAAGTCAACAGTGTAAAGCTGCTGTTGCCAAAAAAAAAAAAAAAAGTGAATATCATTCTGGGATATATTAGCAGGAGTGTTGTAAGCAAGACACGAAAAGTAATTCTTCTGCTCCACTCCTCTCTGTTTAGGCCTCAGCTGGAGTATTGTATCCAGTTCTGGGCACCACATTTCAGGAAGGATGTGGAGAGAGTCCAGAGAAGAGCAACAAAAATGATTAAAGGTCTAGAAAACATGACCTATGAAAAAATTGGGTTTATTTACTCAGGAAAAGAGAAGACGGAGAGGGAACATAACGGTTTTCAAGTGTGTAAAAGGTTGTTACAAGGAGGAGGAAGGAAAAAATGTTTTTCTTAACTCTGAGGATAGGACAAGAAGCAATGGGATTAAATTGCAGCAAAGGCGGTTTAGGTTGGCTATTCGGAAAAACTTCCTGTTGGGGTGGTTAAGCACTAGAATAAATTGCCGAGGGAGGTTGTGGAATCTCCATCATTGGAGATTTTTAAGAGCAGGTGGGACAAACACCTGTCAGGAATGGTCTAGATAATTAGTCCTGCCACAAGTGGAGGGAACTGGACTAGATGACCTCTCAAGGTCCCTTCCAGTTCTACGATTTGATAGCATAGTAGGGGAAAATGGCTTCCGCAGCAATGAGTTTGATTCTGATACTGCAGAGCTTGCACAGAAAATGTAACTGTAATTATGTACTCAGTAGTAAGTAATGCACATGCTACCAAATGTAGCCTTTGACTTCATGGAGTTGTGCCTGATTACATCAGGACTGAACCTGGCCCAGAATCTTGGACATTAATCATGTTTTATTGAGAGATTTAATGAGGAGATGGTAAGATATATTAAGTAAGTGGATGATCAGTATCTCTGCTAAATAAAATAATGCTGTTTGACAAAGTGCATATGGTAACTGTCATTTTCCTACTTTAAAAAGCAGAAGCTTTTTCTAACTGGCTGATGTAGCTTCTTTATTTTCTATTCACTGTGAACTAAGGGCTGCTCTAAACAGCAAAAGGTACTGTTTGGGGGGACTGCATTATACTATGCATGTCTTAGAGAACAGAGTTTGGTATTGTCATCTTAAGAGGGGGTTAAAAACATGTTATGGGACCATAGGATGACCACGTAACAGGCTTTGTAGCATATTTTATATACTTAGGAAAGAGCAAATTATGTTATCTGACTTCATGTCAAAGTACATTTTGCTGCATAGAAGGACCATAAAAATAAGTCTACTACTTTAGTACAGTAGAATAAAGTAACATCTTCAGTCAGCAACTGGGAATAAATTAATAAACTGGCTCTGCAGACTGACTTGCCATTGTGAAGTAAGTCAGGCTATCGAATAACAAATAGATTTGATCAGGTTGTTCGAGTGAAAGCAATGCACAAATCTCAGGATCACTTCGCTCTTCAGATGACAGAACGCTAATAGTGTTGGTTTGGAAAGATGCACAGTATTAGCTTCTAGAAGATTGAGGATTATGTTGTCTTCTGCACAGACAGGGAATAATTTTGTCTCTCCTTGAATGTTTATTCACATGTGATTACTGGAAACTCTCCTGTGCAGACGCTCACAATATCTTAACGAACTGAAGGAGGATCACTGCGGTGTTCAGCGCTCTGAGGTCAGGGCGGTGAAAGCATGCTGCAAACTTCGCCAGAAGGCTTGAACTTTGCCAGGACACTTGTGGTTTCATCTGTTTACCTCAGCAGTGACAGAAGATTTAGACAATTACTTATCTACTGCTGGTGCTGCTGACAGCCCCAAACAGTGTCTTGTCAAATATACTACATCTCCTTTATTAGGAGCTATGTATTTTGAGTGTTTTATAAAACTGTTGTTATAATGAAAATTGATATAGTGACTGGTGTCTGAAGTGATCCCCTCAGAAAAGACTCGTCAGAGATGCTAATGAGAAGAGAGCTCTTATAGCTCAGTTCAGTGGCTGCTAGCTCATAACAGCTCGGAAGGGCAAGCCTCTTGGGCTCCTCCCTTATGGAGATTAGTCTTGCATTTTCAAGGGGAAAAAAAATCATAAATGTTCCTTGCTCTTTTGTGGCTGCATCCATCCCTATTTCAGGGCAAAATCCTTGTTCTTATCAGTTCCAGTTGTCCTACAGACATTTAATTACCTATGTTGAGGAAGGTGCTGTCCTTCTCCCTGTGCTACAATTTGGGAAAAGGCCTGCATAATGCTGGACATCATTCACCCTCCCCTTCAATTTATTTCATCCTTTGTCTTTATCTGACCTTCCCATCTCTTCTTACAACTTTTCCCCTCACCATGCACCCATCTCTGTCCTCTCTTTCTCTCATCTCTTCCCTTCCCTCTGTCCCATCTCCCCTCTCTCTGCCTTCTCCTGGTCTCCCTTGCCTTTTTGCTTGTGCATTTCCTATAATGGCATATTTTCTCCATTCCTCTTGGCCATTTTTTTCTTTTTCTGTAGCATCTGGGCACAGGGAAAAACAGAAGAGAACGCCAGAAGAGATGGAGCTGAAATTCCTCTGCTGAGGTGGGAAGTGCAGGTTCATAATATGGGATCCACCAGCATTATGGTGGGCCATGACTATGGTGGGCAAAACATGTGGAATTTGAGCTGTCTGAGGGTAACTCATGAACATGGAGTTCCCAAAAGCGGAGCATGAGAAGGCTTTCTTGCAAGATTGCCAGTATTTTTGCTTCTTACCACAGCCAATAAAAAGCCTTTCTCATAGTATTTCAGGACTGCCGGCGCTAGTTCCAGCCAGGGCCCAGAAATGAAAAGATGCATGAAAAGGAGAAAACAAACAAGATTTAGCTGAACATACCAGGAATGTAAAGAAAGGTTCAGTCCCAGAAATGGGTGAGGGGTCAGGTGGAGGAGGGTCATCTTGTTTTTGTAACTGGTTTGCCCATTCCTGTATATGAATTTCCAAAATCTTGAGGTGGTCTGTTCCCCACCTCTCCCATAAATGATACGTTTTTGCCAGATGAAAAATAAATTAATTCTAATGAGGCTGGGGAGGAAGAAGGGAAATACAACTGCACATGTGATTTTAAAAGGAAATAATTTTCTATTATTATTATGATTAATTCCTCCCAGTATGTCAGACCATCTCAGTTCTTGGTTTTGGAATTCTCTCCCTTGTGGTTAGTCAAAGACTAATTTCAGGGTGTGGTATAAGACTCTTGGCATGTTTAGTTATTAGCTTTCGACATGATAAATAGAATTGTTAACAGTATAAGTTATTTTCTATAAGAGTAATAAAAGATTACTTAGATTCTAAGCTCTGGGGGCAGGGACCATTTTTTTGTCTGTACAGTGCCTAGCATGATGGGCAGGGCTGCGTAGTGCGGGAAGAAAGGGGTTAGTTTGCTCCAAACTCCTGTTTGAGAGGGCCCTCAAAATGAAGGAGGAGGACAAATTTTAGTGATTGGTATTGTGACCTGGCACATGGAGTCAAAATGCCACTCAGTTTTTGGCATACACCCTGCTTCACCAGGCCCAGATCCCACGGTTGCTGTCACTGGCATTGTTGTGGTGAACCCAAGGCAACCCACTAGGCCAAGAGCCTGTAGGTAAAAGAGGGGTTGGGGATCAGGGAGAAGTAGGTCTGGGAACAGTTCTGTGGCCCCAAGCAGAGCCCCTGCAATCCGCACAGTGACAGCAGAACCCCACAGGCTGGGGCCCTTTCCTACTAACCATCCCCACCCCTTTTCCTCAATTCTATTATCTCCTAAATAATTTTTTGGAAGGGTGGGGGAGGGGGCTAAGTGTCAGCTTTTGCCTCAGACCCCCCAAAACTTCTGTGCAGCCCTGACACTGGGGTTCTGGCCTCTGGGTGCTACCAGGCTACAAGTGCTAGAAAGGGAACACAGCAGGTAGGAGGCAGAATAGGTTACGATTTGCGGAAAATTCCCATGTTGCTATAAACATTATTTCTTTTTACCCAGTTAACCCCACGTTGTCCATTTTACCATCAACAGTTTGGTTGCTCATCCGATCCAGACTGTAAATTGCTCCACTTCTCTCAAATCTCTTAGCTTTGTCAGCGGCATTTGCAGCCGTTTGGGAACAAGCTGTGGGATGCGGCGGTGTGTTATTGGGCTAGCGATTTTTTACCAGTGCGTGGCAGGGTGGGTAGTCAGTGCTCCAGTGACCCTGCCTGCATCTGAAGAAGTGGTTGGGTTTTTTTTTTTCACCCAGGAAAGCTTATGCCCAAATAAATCGGTTAGTCTTTAAGGTGTCACCGGACTCCTGGTTTTTGTGGATACAGACTAACACGGCCACCCTTCCGATACGGAGCTACAGTAGTTTTCACGGCAGAGAAGTTACTTTCAAAACCCCTCAGCGCGAGAGGCAGATGAGCAGGCTCATGGGTGCAACCATCAAGCACTGACTCTCCCCTCGGGCAGCAGCAGCGCCGCTGGCTGCTGGCAGGGTGGCCGCCGAGTCCCGCTTAGCTATCGGGCTGTGCAATCACTAGTGGGAGCTGGAGAGGGCAAGCGCGGAGAAGGAAAAAAAAACAAAACAAAACAAAACAAATAAAACTGCAGCGCCTGAGAGAACCTGGCGGGGAGAAACACCACCACCACCACCAGCAGCAGCGGACCCAACTTTGTGGCGTGGAGGCGCAGCGGCGGCAGTGAGCGGCGCCTGCTCTCCGTCCCGGGGCCCGCGGACCCAGCGGCGGGGGCGGCCTGGCAGCCGGTAAGGGAGCTCCCCGCGGGCCGCGTTCTGGGGCCAGCCAGCTCCGGCAGAGGCAGGGGTGGGGGGCGGAAATGCAAAAGCCCCCCCGCAAGAGGGTGGGTGGCTGCGCTCCGGGGCGGGGGCGGGCGCGGGCCGCTTGCTCCCGAGCCGGCTGGGGTTTGCGTGCGGTACCTGTGCCCTGGCAACCGGCCCCGCGCCCCGAGGCGAAGCGGCGCTGGGATGCTGCAGCCGGGACCTGGGTGGAGGCGGAGGCGCCCTGCCGCTCGGGCAAGGCGGCGGCGGCGGCGGCTCCTGGCAGTCGGGGCTGGGGCGGGGAGGGGAGGCAGCGAGCGAGCGAGCGGCTGCAGCAGCGGGACCAGGGGACTGAGACTGGGGGGGGGCCCCGCCCCGCCCTTGGTGATTGCCTGTGTTGGGGCTTTTCAATGTGTGTGTGTGTGTGGGGGGGTCTGACTCTGAACTAAGTTTTCCACCCTAGGCTCCTACTGGCACCCCAGAGAGAAGCGCCCTGTTTCTCCCAGGTGCTGCTGGGCCGCCCCGCTTTCATTGCCCTGGGAGCTGAGGGTGCTCGGTCGCGCTGCAAACCAGACCACTGCTAACGTGGGCCCCCCGCGAACGGATTTAGGAGCCCACCTGTTGGTACCCAGGGTTGGGAAATGTTGGCGGTTTGGGGGGTGTTTAAGTAGCTGCTAAGTGTGGCTTGCATGTGGAAATGTTGCGGGCAAAAGTGTAAAGGGGTTTCGGTTGATATCTCCGTGTTCCTGAGATCAAATCAGCTGCTAGGTTATTATTTGGTACTTGGCGTCCTCTGCCAAGGGGCTGGGTTGGCAAGGGGTGGAGATGGGTTGTTATGCCGCTTTCCCCTCTCCCCCCGCCACTCTAATCTTTTTATCATATCGCTATTAAGTTGATTGTATTGATAGCTTCATGATTGCACTTAAACCATGCCACAGAATGGACCTTACAGACTGCAGAAATTAATTGCACCTGTGCGTCTTATTCCAGCCCGCCCCCTACCTGTTTTGATCAGAAGAACTTGGTACAGTGTTTTCAATTCGTACTGGAGCATAGTCTATGTTTTCCAACCTGCCTTGAGCTGCCTATCTGACTAAATCAGATCAGTGATAATGATTTTTGGCAGCTCCTAGGGATTTCGCGGGGAGAGCTTCCCCTTTAACACCATAAGCTGAACTGCTCTTGGAGAGACATTATGATTATTAAGGTGGAGAACGAATGACTCACTGTGCACTCAAAGGTGCCTGTGAAGGAACACAGAGAGAAAAGTCTTTAAACTATCCAAAAACACCTAAAAATAAACATATTACAATTGCAAAAACATCTGTAATGTTAGCAAAGAAGCATCAGCTGAAGAGAGGTAATTGTACTCAACAATGCAAAGGGGGCTGTTAAAGGACAGGATATTGGCTAAAAAAAGTTGAAGTTAATTTAGGCAATTTATGTGGAAATACCACTGAAATTGTAAATCAGCAGCTGGATATTAATGGGATTCCTACATCTATACTCACCAAATATATATCCAATTTCCTAATTTTGCAGCTACATTGGTGACATTTTTAATCCTGTTCATTGGTTGGAAAAAGCGGTGGAAGTCTCATCTAGTGACCTTTGAGTAACCATAAGCCAAAGTATAGGTGTAAAGCCTCCTTTAACATTTTTAGTGGTCATATAACTGTGTTCTAACTGTAAAAAGAATATTCAAAGATTTGCAATTGTACATGACAGAGTTCTTCTAATCCCTTTAGAAACATTTGCTGTAGAGATGTTTGCTGAGAATATGGCATTTTGGCTTCAAGTGCTTTAATGTCATTTGGTAAATCATTGTAAAATCATGCAAAACAACTGCCATCTATTCTGTAAGTTTACCGTTATTGTAGTGATGTTTTGCATGTAAAGCATATTTAAAATTATACAATACGTTTAATTTACCATGACTTCAAACATAGTTTATAATCATGCAAGTAGGGGGCTCTTTTTTTTTTTTAGTTTTAAATTTAACTTAATGCAAGAAAATTTGAGACAGCATGTTATTTGTCTAATTTGAGGGGCTGTTTAGTAAGCCACTGGATCCTTTCCTTTTGGTCACATGTTACAGTTTGGTATGATCTCATTACTCCTGTGTCGAAAGCTGTTGGTGCATTTTTAATGACACTGAAATGTGCTTTTAAATCAAAATGTCTGTCAAGATAAAACTTGTTTTATTGTGGAAGATTATGGAGAATGCTGTGAATTGATGAAACAAAAGTAATTCTTTCTCTCTCACACTCTCAAGAATGCTTCACTCGTTGTTTATAAATAAGTTTTGCTCCACATAAAATACTGACTTATAGTGCTCAATTTTCTGAAGTTCTGTTTTGAAAACAGCGCTTACCCAACTCATTGCTAGCTGACTGAAGAGCCCGATGAGAGAGTTTCACTTGCTACAGGGAAAAAGTAAACAGTTAAAATGTACATTCAGAACAAATACATATCTGCTATACCCAGCGTTATTTTCTGACAAATAATTATATTGAACAACTTTTAAATATATATTTTTTTCAAAAATTAAAATGACACTAAACTAGAGATGGCTTGTGGAAAACTCAAGGAATGCACAGAGGTGTTATACTTTCAAATTTGACTTAGTGCTGATTACATTATTGTTAATAAAAGGCAAAATTCACGCCATGCAGAGGGCCAGCAAGAGGTCTCTGCAGCACTTGTGTTCCACTTCAGGTCTGGTGCATAGTTCCTCTGCACAGGAGTGAGTTTCACCCAGAGCTTTTTTTTTTTAATCGTTAGAATGCAGTATATTCAGTGTTAGATTATGTGGTGAAGTTTAGTTATATGGGTCACCATATTTAAATGCTGTGTTATTAAAAAGACCTTGCAATTATTTTAAAAGAAGGAATACAGAATAATAAATTATGGGGCTTGACCTTCTTCCCATGTCTTCGTAACTCCATTGACTTCAGGTGAGCTACTCCTGATTCTCACCTATGGGAGAGGGTTTCCAAGTCTGATTTTTGTAGGTACTTCCACCAAATGCAGACCCCCACTTTGTGTGTAAGACGATTGCTTTGTGTGGAACAGCTATGGACTATGGCTCCATCCTGTAGTGTGTTGAGGCTGTCACCCTGAGCCAGCAAAGCACTGAACAACAGGCTGAACTTCAAGCGTGTGAGTCGTCCAATTGGAGTTAGTGGGTTAAAGTTCAGCATGTGCTTAAGTCCTTTGCTGGGTGAAGGCCAGAATGCTCATTATTTTTCCTGATTGAGCCCTCAGGTCTTGAAATTTTCTTGCAAGAGAAATGTTACTGGGTGGTAACATTAAGTGACAGATTCACCAAGAACAGTTCACAAAGCCAGAGCTTTCTAGCCTGTTTGTTTCTGGATTTGTTTTCTATGCATTATTTCCTAGAAAACACAAAGTACAATATGTAAGTGATTGCATCGATCGGCAGGTGTGTGGAAATGGTGAGAGTTAGAAGAAAGCACTTTTTCAGGTGGGATATGTGAGTTCCTACTAATATGAAAAAAGTAATCTTATTTCTCACATGTTTACAATCTTTTCTATTTCTAACAGAACTAATGACTCAGTACTTCCTAAAATAGATATATATCTCTTAGATTTTAAGCTCTTTGGGGCTGGGATTTTCTTTTTATTGTGTGTCTACACAGTACCTAGTACAATGGGGATGGCATCTCTAACCACTGCTACGATACAAATAGTAATAAAAACCATTTTGCAGTACCTGATTTCAAATTTAATTAATCCTTGGATGCTTCTGAAGACCTCAATTAAACTTCTGAAAGGTATTTTCTCTCAATAATCAGGCAGCTCTAAGGGCAGAATATTGCACTAGTCCACTTGGATAATACACTGCTATAATTATTCCACTTAAGGAGTTAGAAAATTTAGATAGGTTTCAGAGTAGCAGCCGTGTTAGTCTGTATTCGCAAAAAGAAAAGGAGTACTTGTGGCACCTTAGAGACTAACCAATTTATTTGAGCATAAGCTTTCATGAGCTACAGCTCACTTCATCGGATGCATTCAGTGGAAAATACAGTGGGGAGATTTATATACATAGAGAACATGAAACAATGGGTGTTACCATACACACTGGAACCAGAGTGATCACTTAAGGTGAGCTATTACCAGCAGGAGAGCGGGGGGGAGGGACGGACCTTTTGAAGTGATATTATCTGAAATGGGGGGAAATGAAAGAAAGATGTAGTGTTTGTATAATGTTGCTTCCCTCAGTTTAGGGGCAATGCATTTCTCTTCATAGTCAGGATTCAAATACCTGAGGCTAAACACAGGGCCTAACCCTGCAGAGATTTACACAGGTTAGTAACTTTGTACCTGTGAGTAGTTTCCTTGAGCTCAGAGAAACTACTCAACTGAGGAAGGTTACATGACTAAGCATTCACAGGATTTGGGCTATATTTCGTACCTGGCAGCAAATGTAAAAAAACTTGTTTTACCACATGTCCAGGAACATTCCTCCGCCTGTAGCTTTGTGTATCTGCCATGGAGTTATCTTTGGCCACAATATGAACTGCTGATAGAAATGAGTGATTCTGATCTAAATGACAACGCTTCTTAAAACTAGACCCAAAACACATGGAGTCATCATATAGTAGCTCCTTTTTTGTATCGATAAACTACTGTTGTTGCATTGTCTGACATAATATAAATATTTGGCCTTGATGGGCAAAACTCTGAAGGAGGTGACTGGAAAACTCTTCATACAGCTATCAGTTCTAGTCCATTCATATGAAAACTGGTTTCTGTCCTGGTACAAGTTCCAAAGCATGCTTAGCCCTGACAAGAAGCACCTAGTCTTCATTCAAGAATCTGTATCCCAGTGTGGCTTAAAGAAGAGAAATATAACAACAGATAGAGGGTAAGAGTTTCAAAGGCACAAAGGGGAGTTTGGTGCCCAATTCCCGGTGAGCTTTCAAATCTCCCTTATAAATAATACAGCACTTTATATCTAAATA